CACGGCCGCCTGAATCCCGACTTTTTTTGCATTTTTTTTTCACGTTATTTTTCATATAAATTAAATAATAATATAATAATACAGGAACATATCGTACATTATTATTATTTAAAGTCATTATCATTTTATATCACACAATAAATAGGTACATATTATATTTGTTTTATTAGGAATTATTAAAATTGCATATTTTTTAAAATGTCCATGATTGTTATATAAATATAGTTTGTATTTTATTTCGGTTTGCCTACCTAGGTGGCTAACTTGAAAGTTAATCTTGATTTTGACTTGAGAGTTGAGATGACTGACTTGCTAGACACTCCAACACGGTTTTTGACTTTACACTTTTTACATAAGAAAAGGCACCGGACATGCGAAGGCACATACCACTCTATGTGATATACCTACTATATATAGGTGATAGACGGGTTGCTCATTTTAGTTTCGTCTTAAACGGTGATGATTGACTTGATAGACACTTTAACAAAATATAACATGCAGGTTTTTGCAATTTTTTTTTAAATTAATATATATACACTATAGCCTATAGGTACATGTTTATATGTATTGGTTAATATAATAGTATGTATCTAACTATCTACCAATATGTTAATATTTTTTAGGAATTATAATTGCACATTTCTCAAAATGTTCATTGTTATATTATATCACACAATAAATACATATCATATTTGTTTGTATGTATATAGTTTGAATTTTTCGTAAATTATTTCGTAAGTTGTGTGATAGGGTTTTCACTTATAGCCGCTTCACGCTTGATGTCGGGTCTACAATCCACCGCAGGTGGATTGCCTACCTGATTTGCTGTAGCACATAGTCCGCGATCCGACGAAGTCGGATTGCCTACCTAAGTGGCTAACTTGAAAGTTAATAGATTTTGACTTGAGATGACTGACTTGCTAGAAACTCCAACACGGTTTTCGACTTTACACTTTTTACATAAGATAAAGCACCAGTCATGCTACGGCACATACCACTCTATGTGCAGGTATACTCTATATAGGTGATCCTGGAGATCGTATCCAGCCTATCCATTTACAACGTTTGTGGCGGATTGCTAGACACTCAAACTTTTAACATTCCCGCCAAAGCGTCTAGCCTTATCTCCAATCCATATCACTAATCCTTATCACAAATCCTAAATTTTCGTCTTACAACCTTTGCGACTTTTATAATTCATTGTCTCCAAAATCGGTACCCACTCTCAGCGATTCCAACGGGCCCCGAGTTATACTTAGAGCTAGTATATAATAATAATATAACATTAATATATTATCTACACGGACAATCATAGGTACCGTAGTTGTAGTGTTGTACCTATACATATTTTGTACGGCATAGTTCATACTACCCACATACGAATTTATGCATAATTAGTAGGTAGGTACCTGTGTATAGTTATAGTTACTTTATAGTTATTATTCATTCTCATACACGTTCATTTTAATATATTTATATTTGTCGTCGATGTTATGCTAATATACATTGTTAAAATTTTAGATTCGAAGAAGCCACTGATATGCTACAATGTGTATATTATAGTTTCTGCATTATAATAACTTTGCATTGAACAACACAATCGACAAGTGCATATATGAATAACAACGAATTATAATTATTTGACTCGTCTTGTACCTTGTTTGACATCGGAACGAGAACATAGTCCATACAGTCATTATTGTGTTTTTGTAGTATGTATTAAAATATATTACGATTTTACTCTGGTATTCCATTAAAATATTATTTTATTTTAGTGATTAAAAAAAAACCATGATCTGTTGTTTCAGATTTTTCACTGAATATTCCTGTGCTTCACCTAAAATGTTGAAGATTTTCAGCTTCATATCCTATTGGTATATGCGTTACTTACTGGTCACCGAATTGTATTTAGTAGAAAAATGGGAAAGGTGTTTGATACGTATCCTTTTTTAAATGTTATTATATTACTGGTGTTTAATAGGAAAAACCTTAAAAAATTAGTATTGATAGATCATTTTTAAAACTTCTAAATACTATTTATTTTAATAGACATTGTTAAATAGGAACATTAATATTATATATTATATAGTGTGTACCAAATACAATTGTCATTATTATAAATGTTTAAATTTTTATGATTAAAACTAATGACGACTTTAAGTTTATCATAGATGTAAAGTCATCGTCAGGGCTCGGATTCTACAGCATTTTCTACCTAATTATTATATATACAGATGAAAATAGCAAATTAACTGTAAGCTATACATTTTAGTTGTGTATCATAGATTCCCAATAAAAAATTATATACTGTTCATTTTCTAGTTCTGGTGCAATTTATGCTAATTTGTGTTTAGAATACGATTTATTTTAATTGAAGTAGCGTAAAAAAAAAAGAAACAGATAAAAGATTTATCAGTGTTTATTTTTCTAGATAATTTTGAATAGTGTTGCTTTGAATATCAATTCACTTCAACATCATTAATTAATTAGTTTTTATCTTTATAGCAATTTAAATCTTAAATTTAATTTTTGTATACCTATTTATCTAATTCTAATAAGTAAGAAATAATTATTTCTATAAAAATAACCTTTTTCTTTATTTTTAGTTCATATTAATGCCCAGATGTGCATATTTAATTATTTCCATATTTCCATATATTATAATTAATAACGCATATTAGGTATTCTTTTTTAGAGTTTTGCTAGTGATTTTAAGTCAGAGTCCTGGTCATAATTAAGGTCATGTAGGTACTCTATTAATTTAAGAGATAGTAATAACAACAAAAGTAAAATTGTTTGTAACATCATTATTTAAAATTAATTAACTGTATAAAGTACCATTGGTTATAAGTACTAGTATTTATAATCAATGGTAGTATGTTATTTGCAAGCATTCAAATTAAAGCTCAGATTTTAAAGTCATTAAAACCCTTATTTTAATTCACATGACTTGTTTAAAATAGTATGTAACTTAAAGAGGAGGGAATTTATTATTCTCCCCTAGATATTTTACATCAGGCATTTTTATTTTTATTCTATGTGTATATTATACTATTTTCACAATAATCTAGATTGTAGGCCATAATAAAATGTATAAAAATATAAATGCAAAATTTAAATCCTTTGCACACATTTCATGATTTGTATACATTCATTTTTATTTTGCATAATATTTTTGTTTTTTTAAATTAAAGTGTTAAATCCAAATAAAAAACAAAATGGATAAACGAGAAATATATTAATTGTTTGATAACAAATCCATAACATAACTGTTGACTGTAACTTTATTTTAATTGCAAAGTAGTATTTGAAAGAAATTTAAGTTTATTTTTAAACATCTATACAATATATCAGTGGCGAAACAGTATTAAATAATTTATGCAATCAAAGATACTAGAAATATGTAGTTGTTTTAGTTGTATACGATTATTAATCACAAATATGACATACCTAGAAGCTCTGAGTCTTATTAATAAATATATATTCAATAAAATAAGTCTTGCATACATATTAGTTAGGGTACAGTTATATAAATACTTTTTATATTAATTTATAAGTAAACATTTTGTTGTCTCAATTTATTTGATAAATGATAATAGTGAAATGTAATTTCAGTCTGTTGAGATGTAACTGAAAGAATTATTCAAATGTATTATTAATTTATTACCCAAACAGTCATTATATTTAAGCTTATCATTGTACAAGAATTGATGAATTATTTAAAAATTTTTCTTAATGAACCAAATGTAGATACCATAATGTTTATATTGTTCTTTGGATTGTGGTACATGAATAAAGTATTCATTGAATTTGTTTCAAATTGTATAGCATGATTAAACTATAATAACATATTATGTTATTATAAGATTTTACTGTCGTTTTATTAAAATCTTTGAAAAAATGATTAAAAGCTGTATCCGTGCAAAATCCAGGAAATATTTTCAACATTAATATTGATTATGATACAACAAAAATATTGTAATTTATAAAATAAAGAAAACATTTATTTTTATTCCATAATATTGTGTATTGATTTAAAAAGACAAGCCAATACACAAACAAAATCTAAATATTCTAGCATATAAATAGTTTAACATAAAAATAGTTCAACATAATAACATAACAACAGTTTTGGTTAATTAGATACCTAAATCGATATAAAATTTTGTGCGTAAGCAAAACATAATGTATGTTCTGTAGTGTCGGTTTATGTTGTAAGCGTTATGTGATTTATCGTGATAAAGATGTTTTTATCTATAATTACAATTAATATTATATTATAATTATAATATATTACAGTAATTATAGTTAGTAATAATATTTTGAAATGAAGTGTTTATTTCTTAAATATGGTTTGTTAAAATTTAAAGTGTTAATATTAAATGTTTAAACAACAAGAGGATATTTATACTTGATAGTAATTAATAATTAACGGTATTAAGTAATGGTACAATAGTAAAATAAAAGTAAAATTAAAACTATAAGATCAATAAAATGAGAAAGATTTAAGTATTTTTTTATCATTATCCATTTAAGTATAATATCTAAATTATGAAATCAACTACAAAATGATACCCTATTATAATATATGATGTAATATAATAATAGGACATATGGAAATAAAATGTTTAGAGACAATTTAATTACCTAACAATATATTCTAGGCACTAACCATAGGTTTCAATAATCTAAATATTAATAAACAAGGCTGTACCTGTAAAAGTTCACCCTCCCTATGAAATTTGTTCATATTATTTAAAGGATTATTTGTTTTTTATGATAATGTCTAAATAATAAAATAAAACAACATGATATATTTATAATGTATTCTAGGTACAACCTTGTTTATAACTTATAACTTATAACTATAATACTTGAAGGAATGAAAATAACATTAATGATATTATTTAGGAATATCCGACACTACAGTTCTAATGTTTTAAAGTTACACACACTTATAAAATACAGATAGTTTCAAAAATGTGAAAGTAGTTTTTGCACTAATATGACATGCGATTAACGTGTTTTAAATCTTCAATGTCAACCAACATTGAATCCTTCGCCATGTGTAATTCATCTCTTTCAAGTAATAAATTCACAAGGCTTTCGTTTAAGTCTAAAAAAAAAAAAAAATGTTTATTTCCATATTTTCATAGACAAACTAGTTGACATATACTCACATTCGATGTAAGAATGCAGATCATTAACAATAACTTGTAGTTGTGCCAAGTTTAAACGCATTAAGAAATGTCTACTGACACGTCTTCTATCATTGTCTAACTTCACTCCAACCTAAAAAAATATATATATATTAGATAATGGACAAACATTTTATATTGAATATTAAAAGTGACAATATAAATTTAAAATATTAACAAAAAAAAACAAAATTACTTGAAGCACAATCAGTTAACTTTTTTTTGGTATGTATATAACATACAAGTACGTAACAACAAATTTAGTTTAGCAGATCACGTTTAGCTTCGTTAGATTAAAATTAGAATGAATTTAACTATTATGAAACTTGATGGTAAGAATATTATTAGTGTTTGTATGTAGGTTGTTTTATGATAGATCAATTTGTTAGAAATTTTTGCACATATAGTATAGCGTAAATTAAAAATACTCATAACTCACTTAAAAACCGAATAATCGTAGAAAAAACTTACATAAAAATACATAATGATCTTACCATCAAGTTTCATAATAGGTCAAGTCACTCTAAATTTTAAACTAACGAAGCTTAAAGTGATCTGCTGAGCGTAAATTTGGTATGTTACACACTTATAAGACGTAGACAATAAATATCTGTGTAGCTACCACTTAACTAAATATGGTTGGTATTATATTATAAGCCCATAATAAAATACCTCATAACTCATTAAGCTTTAATAAACTTTAATCATACATACAGAAATATAAAAACCATACTTTAAAAATTGAATTTAATATTAAAAAGGAAATAACTAATATTCTGGTTATTAATTTACACAATATAATAACTTACTTTTGAAAGACTTTCTTTAATTACGGCTGAAATTACACAATTGCGCTGATCTGAAATCATATGTGCTCGTGCTCGGTTTTTTGCCAAATTCAGACCTTGTTTAAGTTCAGCCTGAAAATTACTTGTTAACTCAAATATTTTTTTTTAAATTGTTTTACTCCTAAAGTACAATGCAATAATTTAGGATTATAAGTCAACTATTATACATACAGCAGATTTTAGCTTCTCATCTTCAGCTGAGATGTCACAATTATTAATTGGTAACTCTGTATCTGAAGATTGTTCGTTCATAAAGCATAGCTGTAGATTAGAACCTATGAAATAAAGTATTATAATATCATGTTAATGGATACAATTCAGTATTTAACTATAATGTAATATGGATTTATGAATTATTTTCACATAAACAATACGAGTAAACAAATAAATTGGGGTAAAATATACACAACACAAGTTATATAGGTGACTATAATGATATGGTATAATATATATAACTTTTTTATAGTTTTAAATTGTTTTGAATGAACTGTCAAGTGACTTATTCCTTTTATGCATACTGTTAGAGATTGAGGAAATATTTTAAAGTACCTAATAAATAGGCGGAGCTTGGGAGGTGCTTGAGTGGGCTAAGCCCCCTAAATTTTCGATTAGCAAATGTATACTGAAGTTTCGAGTCATATTTAATAGTTTTATATCATTATTCACAAATATATTAGGTACTTAAAGGATATCACAACACTAATTTTTTATTTAAGTTTAATGGTTTAATATGTAGTCAAAATAATGAGTAGTTTAGGAAAAATCCGGGTTTAAAAAAATATTGATTATTCAATAAGATGATGATACAAGACGTAGCTCAGCTTTATGTGAGCGGTAGTTCTCAACAATGCAAAAGATTAAAAATTGGTTAAGGACTACTATGATTCAAAATCAATTCAGTAGTTTGGAAAATGTAAAGTCTAAAGTAATTTATGGTTCATATTAGGTAACTTGTTATTTTTTTTTTCAAATTTATTATTTTATTATTTAAGTAGGTACAAGAAGTTTTGAAATTTTAGATACAATTTCTAATATTATTTAAGAAAACAGTTATTTCTTCTGTTTCGGTTTTTTTCTGTATTTGTATTAATATTGTAATAGTAATATATACTCTTTTCAGAATAAGAAGGAACCAGGCGGCCACGGACAAAACCGGTTTTGTTACGTAAATCTGGTGCGTTCTTATTCTGAAAAGAGTATAGTATGCAATACATTCATATATTTTAAACTACATAGGTAGTTATTAATGATGATTTTCAGAAAATAATCTGGGGCTTAACCCCCCCCCCCCCCCATCAACTAAATTTATCAAGCTCCGCCTATGACCTAATATTAAAATATTATAAATTATTACTATAGTTAAATACCAGCACAAAACATACATTTCAAGTTTGATGTACTTAATTGTTTAAAGTAATATTTTACTCACTGTTTTGTAATCTAGTTTCTAAACTTGATTTTTTTGTCGACTTTCTTGTGTTATGATAACCATCTACTAAGCGTTTACGAATTTCTTCACGGTCATTTTTTTTCTGAAACAAGAAAAAATATTAAATATCTAAAAAAAACAATATATTTTAATTACAACTAAAAGCTGCTTCAGTCCAATTCTCATATTACTATTTTCAGTTATTTATAATATTATTTTTATTCTAGCAGTTTTGTGGTTACCTATGGACTATGAGAATAATACAATTTTCTGAAACCTATCTGATATCAGTTACAAAATGTTTAAGTAGGTATTTTTTTGATTTATGCCCTTGTCATAATTTCTCAAATACTAAACTGCTACATATCTCACCCAAGAATATGATCATCAGCAGTAACATTCACACTTGTGATGAAAAAAAATAAATATTTCAATCAAAACGCTTTACCAGATTATACGTTTTGTTGTCTGAGGAATGCGTGTAATTGCTGTTGACCACCCCCAGTTCATTAACCACAGACATGTCCGTGAACTTGTGTATAAAATCGTTGTCGTCGTAATGGCTTGCAGGATTCTGATATATGAAACAACCTTTTTCCAGCTCTAGACACTTGTTGTTATTCGGGTAAGCGACGGTCTTGTTGTTGTGGCCGATCAGCATGCGTTTATGGGTCTGCGTCTCCTGATACTCGGTGTCGTGCAGCAGCGACTCCTTCAGGGCTATACCGTTGAAATAAATGTTCTCCTTGATGTAACGACTGTTCGCACCGCCGGACTTGCCATAGTATCTGGGTCGCAGTTTTTCTTTGAACGTTGCGACTAGTGACGAATGATCCGACATGGTACGGTGACGAATAAGCGATTCGATCGTCCGGCGCTTCAATGGGTACGTCCCCGTTACGTTCGAACGGGACACATTCAAAAGCCGTCTAGCCGACGGAGTTCGTTTTAATGATTTTCGTTCGCGGGCTGCAGCGGGTCAAAGGCGGCTCTACCCAATAATTATTATAATCCCGACGGCCCTTATCAGTTATCAATATAAATGTTTTTTTCCCTCGGTAGAGGCAAATCGATTTCGGCTTGGAGGTAAACACAACACAATTTACCAGTTACCCGTGTCTAAATAGTATTATTACGTATTATTATAATATATTATGGAAAAGTGGTACATATTTTTTGACCTAGTTGTGTATGAATTTTGTTACTCCTTAGTTGCGTAATACATTTTCTACAAATAGCGTGCACCCGGACATAATAATAATAATAATATAATATTTTGTTGTTCTGCAGTCGCACCAATAACATATCGGACAGTCGAGTAGGTACCTACACGCATGCACACGTCATGCATGCACGACGCAATGGAGGATATCGATTTTTGGGGTGTTTAATAATTGCGTGCCCGAATTGTGGCGGACGTGCGTTTTCGATTACACCCGTGACTCGTGGGGGCGGCTTTTGTGACCTTTAAAGTGTTATAAAATAATACCATGTTGATTTTTCGATAGGAAAATTGCGATGGAAATTATACGATTTATGAATACGACATTAAGTCATATAAATATAATATGTAATAAAATAGTATACTATCTATAGTGGTTTTTATATAGCCATATAATAATATAATCGTTAGTTTCGTTACCTACTTAATATGTATGGTTAAACTTTTAAAATTGAAATATATAAAAAAAAATTATTTTATTTTATTAAATCATGTAGGTCTACCTATACATAATATATAGTTCTATCTTCTACCCTAGCCCCTAGGTACATGTTTCGTAAAAATAAAAATAAAAATGTATAAACTTATGTATTTATTACATAATAATATTATGTATACATGAATATACAATTTATTTTTCAATCAGAGCGGAACAATGATGAATGAATGTGTATTGGTTATAAAAAGATGAATTTTTTATTTTTGTGCCATTACCTATTGGAGCAGTAATAATGCTAGGTACGATTTAAAATTTTTAGCAATGGTATTTGGTTTTAAAGACATGAATTTCTTCAAACTATTTACATTAGAATTTTATAGACTTGATATCATTTTCAAAATATTTTGGCTCTTTTTGTGTTATTTACCTAGGTACTTATTTATAATCATTTGAAATTTTCGACTTTTTTTATTTTCAATTTATTAATGAAATCATCTTTATTTCATAGTAAATTCACTTAAACATTAAAACAAAATGTTTTTAGCATTTCTATTTTCTAATTGTATTAGGTAGGTACTATATAAAACCCCGTTTGGTATACAGGGTGTTGCAAGATAAATGTGCCAAACTTCTAGTGGTTAAAACTTTAAAAAATTTCAGTTTCATCCTACAACAATTTTTTTTAAAGTTTGTGGGTGCAAATTTCAAAAAAATAATCGGAATCACGTTAAAAAAACCATAAAAAATACAATTTTAAATTATTAATTGAATATTTTCACAATCTTTGCAACACATTCAAATTTGAATAATAATATTCAACCAATTAAAAAATTTTAAAAAACATATTTATTACCAACAACATTATTTTAAGTTAAAATAATTACATTTTTATAAAAATCTGATGAAGTTCAATTAAAAACATTATAAAAATAACGAAATCAAAACAATAACACAATATTTTCAATTTAATTTTAATTTTATAAGATCAAAAATATATTACAAAAACATTTAAATTTAAATGTTATTAATTTAATTAAGCTAGAAAATTATTAAAATATTATTGTCTAGAAATTGCTGTCTGGGTGTTCCCCATACCCTATTTAAAAAATATCGAATATACCAGCTATATGTATATAATATGTATATATATATATATTATACAATATTATACACCTACGTAGTTCACATTTTTTATTATATACGAGATCCAAAATCATGAAAATAGGAAAATTATTTTAGTATTAAAAATGTATAAAATGTTTAAATTTAACACCTATAATACTTGAAAATATATAACATGTTTTCTTCATAGGAAATTTAAAAAGAAGTTTCCAAATAGGTACTTTTTTTATGAGTGATCGAAACTCTTTAAGTAATAATTGTAGAAACTAAAAACATTCCACTATTAGTTATAAATTATCACTTTATCTACATAATGAAACTCAAAATATAATGACTAATTATTAATTTAACTAGGTACTTATTTATATATTATAATTTATATTATACATAACTATATTTATTATAGTAGGCATTATAAACTATTTTTTTTTCTTAGTCTTGAGAAAAATATTTAGGCTTGGTCAAAATTGTTGACAATTTAATACAAGGCTCCTATAACTATATTGTTACAATGACATTTGAAAAATATAAAAATCCTTAGTTACAGTTTTTATTTATAAGCATTTAAAGTTTAAGTCTTGACAAATTACGGAAAAAACATTTTCTATAATATAATTAATGACATTTTCAAAATATGTTTACTCGTTTTGAGTTATCTATAGACATTTGAAATTTGAAATTTGTTGAGTTTTTTATTATATAATGTCAATTGTCAATAAAATTTTATTCGTTGAGTCAAAAGGCTTGAAAATGTAATAAAATATTCCTCATAAGTAGTTATAATAGCAGTTAAGAAATATTTAAGATCCATAGGTACGATTTTTTTTTTAAGTATTTGAAGTTAAAATGTTCACAAATCTTATCAAAATCTCGAAAATTTTTAAATTATTTTGTAGTTATCAAATTATAAAATGTTCAATTTTTATAGATATGGATTAAAAATTTAAAACCAGAATTCTTATAAATACTTCATACTGCATGTAACCAAAAAATCTAAAAAATATTTATATATTATATATTTTTGTATTATTTTTTATACTATGGACTGACGTACCTATGCGACATTCGTTTCTAGTGTTACTCCGGTAACATTATTACTCAATATATTAGTTTAAATCATAATGTAGGCACCTTTTATAATTATATCATGCATTTTTTTGAATATTCTCTTCTATAGTAGTACAGTACTACTCCCTAGAGCGGACTAGAGATATTACAATACTTCTGATTGTTATTATTTGATTAAATAATTAAAGACCTTCGTATATGGTTTTCTAAAATATATTTCACTTCACTTTTCCTCCATTTACAATATAATATGTGTTGCAAATATAATATTTGCGGTTGCCGAGGAAGGTCAACTGCAGTTTCGTGGAACATAGTCGAGTAAACAATATAGTTTTAGTTATGTAATAAGGCATAGGTACCTTACATTTTATTAATTTAGAATGCTTGTGGGTTATAATGTATAGCATAATACAATAATATATAATCAATTGTTGTTTTTTGTGCCATTGTAATAAATAAATATGCCTACATAGAAATGTTAAAAATATAAAGAACAAAAGAACTACCTACGTAATGTAGGTATATTGTATATATGTTTAGAAAGACTACAATTAGTAAATAAATACTTGAATTTATTATAATATTTATGTTATTAATTTCTATTTGTATATAAGTACCTACCTAAAATCTATACATACGTATCACATATGTCTATATAAAGTTTTAAACATGAAATTCACCTATATAATGTCGAGTGTTACTGTTGGGTAGCTACTCCCCTCACGATTTCTCAGTCAACTTGTATATGTTCCGATCATATGCTTAGTATAACTATACTATTACAGATTGTATATATTCTAATAAATGTTTTTTTTAAAAAAAAAACCTATATAATATGTGGTCTGTACTCTGTAGTCAGTAATGTTTATAGCCAGCTATATACCTATAGGCTATAGGTATATAAAAATCAATAAAAATACCACATAATCTGCGGTACCTATGTAATAGCTTACACGCTCATAAATTCATAACTTAAATAGGTACACAAAAATTAAAATATCATGAAATAGCCAAAGTAATAACACATGCAATGTTCTTAGGTCTTAACTTAAAAGTTAAAGTTTGATGATAGGTGAATTCACTCTAATATTAAAATTTAAAACCTAATAACACAGGGTTGATTCTGCTGAATGTAAATTTGGTATATATTGAGTTTGGGTCAAAGAGAAAAAACAAATAGTTCACTGGCATTCTCTTGGGTTTAATATTTATTAATTGCCATTTGAAAGTCTGTTCGGTGTAGAATTGTATAATATTAATACATTTATAAAATATATGAGATTAATTAAGAGACCATATTCACGATATTACCAATTTATATAATATAGGTACAGTGTATACATATTATGGTATGACAGACTATAGGTAGGTAAATTAATTACATAATATATATTAATATATAGTCTATTAACTTTAAACGTTTAAGTTATAAATTATATAAGGTAACAAATAACAATAGTTGTATTATATGCTACAATATTTTTATGATTATAATAAAATATAATAATCGTCAACGGTAAAATAAAATAAATAATCAACAGTCTCACCTATTGGCTATTGTCCTACTAATATAGAAAAATGAGATACCTATAGTGGGCAGGTAATATAAATATATTATAAAATATCCTTAGAAATAGAGACTGATGATTACTGTCTTCGCTCAGAATAATATGGAATAGGAATAGGTATGCAATAGCCAACGATTCATCATTTAACTCAAATTTAACATGACAATGGCCATTGCAGTGGTCACTGGCCAGTGATCTACTAAATGACAATACTCACTCGAAAGTCGAAACCTACAAGCAAAGTGACTTCACCCTTTTTTTATAAGTTTTAATTATTCAAATTAATCTATTTCTGCGGGTACCAAGCTCATAATATTTGTTTATAGTTTTATGTAAATATATGTAATTTCAAATTACAATAAAATAGTTTTCACCACTTGAAAAAATTATTTCCCGTAATAGATACCTTGAAAATAATTAGC